TAGTTACACTGAACAAATGCTCTACTGTTCGATATATTTATGTAGGAGTAAATTTGTATCCAGTTCAATCATAAATAGTAAAGTGATTGATAATTGAATGATTTACAACCAAACAAACACCAAACAAGATACTTATAGATTGTAACATGTGCAAAATGCACAAAAAAAGAAAAAAGCAACGAAAGCAGAAAATGCTGAAAAACTTAGAAATGACTACTGAGGAACACTGAACATTTTAAGTTTAGATTACTGAATGTTGAATTTCTGGTGCTTTTTATCCATTTCCATTTTTTACTCTTTGACGGGAATTTTAGAAACGAGATTTTTATATTGATCATCCACAGATTAGTTTAGATAAGTACTTCTTTGTAAATACGGTGGTAAGTTGTCCATGAGATGACGATTCTCCGCAGCAAAACGATACAAAATCTCAGCTTTTGCAGAATGCTGATCATCCGCAACTGGTCGCAGTGGCTCTTGTCTTTTTTTTTTTCTTAGATCTTTCATGCCATCTACTGGAAATACTTTTCCAGTAGTATGTAAGATAGCTCCACAGTTATACACATAATTATTGGTATATTTGCCTCCCCTGCAAAAACACATTTTTTTACAGGACGAATAAGATTTAGAGAGTTAACGAGGATTTCTCAACACTAGTCGCTAAGGAATTTTGCCTAAGGAATTGAACTTTTAGAAGAAGTCTGTTTCCTGTTCCCTTTACTACTAATATTTTCAGTATAACAATCTCTATATACTTCTAAAATAAAGCTTTAAAATGGTTTTTATTTTGAGCTAATTTATTTCACAAAATGTTGTAGCTTAAGAAAATTTGAAAAAAATTAATGTAAGCATCCCAAAATGATTTTTTAGTTTCATTAACTTGATATTGGAAATTCTTATCAGTATTCCTGTAGCCAGTAATTCTGTAGCAGTAAACGACAAAGAATAAAATTCGTCTAAATTTGTACAGTTCCCATCCGTCATTTAAACCTTTGGTCTCCTTCTGCTGCTGGATGGTGGAGCGATAAAGCGCTTGCATAAAATGCTCAGCAAAAAGTGCTAAAATTTTTTCTTGATCGTTGCTTGTCGGTCAGTGGCTAAACAATTTTGCTAAGTACGACGGCGAAAGAAAATCAAGTTGACAAGTGCATGACCTCAGTAGTGGTGATAGGGTGGATTTGTGGGATTTTTGTTTTGACCACAAATGCGAAAGAACAGATCAAAACAAGATAGAAAATATAGAACAAACCACTCTAAATCTGTAATTTTCCTAACAGTCGCTTATGGATTCTGCATGGAATTTTGACTTCTAATAAAAAAATATTAAGCTAGAGTAAGAAATATTTTATTTTTGAATCCGCTTTTGCTCCAGTTTTCAAGAATACGGTATCGTACCCACTACGCAGCACTGCGACAAGCGACTTAGGAGTGCTATAAACGAGGGTGCCGCTGTGGACTACAGATATTCTACAGTAATGATAATTTCTTGCCGAACAGCTGACATGGACATATAATTTTCGCTTCATTACTGGACTAGTAACTGCTTTATCACTAATTAATTCTCTTGAATAGGAGAAGCTTGGGGGCTTTGAAAGTGAAAAACAATTAATTCCTTGAAAGGTAGGACAGAATGGCTGGGAAACAACTATAGCTTTGAATTTTGCAGTCCTTGAAGCGATAATCTTGACTTAAAATTTTAACTCAATAAACTTTAGTCAGTCTGAGTTCGGCAGGATCTGCACTCACTCGCATTATTTTTGATGACTTCTAGCAACAAAGAAATGCTACAGACAGTTCTCAACAACACTTAACACTTATAGGTGTCAAAATATTTGCCAGCCGTTACTTCAACTAATGTTTCCTCTGTATGCTTCAGTGTTAGTGATATCGCACAAAGAATCAGAGGTTCAAAAGTCTTTCCTCTTTATAGACGATATCTTTACACAACAAGAACCATCCATGAACCTAAAACCCTCAAAACTACAAATTTGAAGCCAAGCCGCTATATTATTCTTCAATAATAACACACTGGTGCTTAACAACAGTTGTCTCCTTTGACACGACTATTTATTTCTTGGTTGCCCTCTTTCGCAAAGTACAAGTACGGCTCGATAAAAGTTAAAAAAAGAAATGGTCTTCCTCTCTTGCCGCGCTTGTCTCAGTATTAATTCGGGAAGCCTTCATCAGACATGTTATCTTTAAGAAATTGTTCTGTTGCATCCAGATGAAGCTTACAAAAGAGAACGTAAAGCTTCATTCTTTTTCACCTTCTACTACGTCTGCCGCGTACCATCTTTTCAAAAGTTGTTTCTGGCGACACACATGATGAAAAATGCTAAAGAGAGGAATGGTACTCAACTTCACGGACAATCTGGTTTCGTGTCCAGTCAGCGCTGTCCCGATTCGCGAAGATGAAACAACAGCAGTTCTACAGTTGACAGCTTGGCGCCGAAGACGTCCAACTTTCATCGAGAATTTGCAGTGTCATGGAATTTCCAACCTGACCTCCAAACGGTTTTTGTAAAAAAGTGGGACTCACTTCCTTTAATCGCCTATGCCACACAAACTTTTCTTAGCAAATTCGCAAACTCAAGCACATCAAAGAGTTGTATGTTACAGACTGTATGTAAAGCCGTAAAGATGATGCTGTTTATTGAAATCAAATGTATTCAAATTTTAACTGAGTTAGACTCAACAGAAGAGAAGCGAACAAAAAAAAAAAAAGAAAAAAAAACGCCAGAGATGTAGCAAAATATTTGGATGGGTTTTTAGCAAACAATGTTAGAAACATGTGAACGATAAATAACAATCGTAAAATTTAATCACAACGATTAGACAACGAGGGGATATTTTCACAATAAAATCACGAAAGGAGACCACACAAAAACTTATTAATATTATACTGACGGTCATAAATAGTAATGGAAGAATATTTTCAATGGTAATAGTACGAACATACCGATCACTTAGCAAATAACCCCCTATAGCCTTCATTCCAGTAATCAAAAGTCCATCCCTCAACAGAATTCTAACGAACAAGAGCAACTGTTGTAAATTATGAAGATTCCCTATCCTTCTTTGACCTTAATTTCCTTCATTTCATGGAAATCAGATCTCTAGGAAATTAATATGCTAGACTCAATTAATTGAAACAAACTAAAACTGCAAAAAAATCTTTTTGGTCCATCATCAGGCTCGGATATATAAAAAACAACTGGTTGGTACAAGAACTTCCCACTTTTCACAACTCTTGTACGCCAACGTCTTGAAATTTCAGCAAAACGATAAACGAGGAACCTTCCTCATTCCGAATGCAAAAACAATATGTTAGACGATTATGGAACCTCTCATACTCCAATTAACGAGCATTTTGAAAAAATAACAATAATCACTTCAAGTAAGCACCTGGTAGATTTCGCTTACTTTCCCAAGCAAAATAATAACTTAAAAGATCGTACTACATGAGAACTAAACTGTAACCAAGATGACAACCAATTGACATTTCACCTTTGTAAAGCAATTTCTTGTCCCTACAATAATTTTTTTTAAACCAGTGCTAGGCACTTCAACAGCAGTAAGAATTACACGAAGTTTCCGAAGATGCAATTATTAACAAATTCGTACCTGAATCTGGATTTTTTTACTTCACCAATAACCTAATAGCTAAAAGGAAAAAACAAGTTATAATACAGCAATACATTCAGATTGCAAGAGAATAAGCTGGGACATCACATTATATACCACATTAAAACCACAAAATGAAGCCAAATAACCACTTAGTAAGATACGGGACTAAAGAGGCCCTCACTTACTAATTCCGTAAAAATAATCAACATGACCAAGTGACAATTAAATAAATTATCAGGATATAAGATGAGAAACCTCAGGGAACCCCTAGAACTGACGACATTCTAGCCATCTGAAGAAAGACAAAAATCAACCAACTTTTTGCAAATTCGCTACTGATTAAAAGCAAGATAAGAGAATTGCTCTTGTTTGATTCCGTTAAGGTGTGCTTGCTCAGGCTCTTGCACAACTGCATTCAGTATCGTATCCGCAATAGAATTCAGAAAATAATCGCCTGGAATGCAAAGCTCATTGGGGCTTTTCAGACTTAAAGTAACGCCAGATCGACATGCTACATGACAATCACACGAATGAAGCAAATATATAGAGGCAAAAAAAGAAAATGGGCAGGAATTTTTAATGAATTTTAGTGATTCTTCCATCATCATTTCCTACTGCCTCTTTTTAATGTTTTAAAGTCAAACTTTTTCCACCCTCCTCTGCAGGAACTTCAGATGGACAAGTCACTTTGTCCTGTCCATGGACTTCCTTAGACCTATCAACCACACGCCTCAGCATACTGATGGCCCACGAATACCCAAGTTTCAATGTGCCTCCATCTTCCACCAACAATCCTGGAGCACTTTCTCGCAAAAAATTCTGCGCATGTTGTAAGGCACGTGAAACACTCGATATTTCTCCTGGGCTGGCTTGCTCTAGCTAAAATAGTGTCAAGGAGACAAGGTTTTAGCGATGTTACGAAACAAAAGACGGTTCAAATGTGTAATGAAATAATACCTGAATTAAGTGATCCAGGAGCTTCTTATCCAATTCTTCGCCAAGAAGCAAAGGTCTACCTTTCCTGTTGTACTTTTTCGTGAACTTTTGATTAGGACCAAGCTCATTTGTTACGTTTCCTGTATTGCCTACACTGCAAGAGCCGCTTGGAGCACCATTTGCCCTGGCAATACCAACTGATTCTGTAAAGAATCAGTTTTAGTAAAAGGGAAGGCTTCAAATATAAAATAAATTTTCATTAAAAAAAGCGGTCATTGACTTATAAAGAAAGTTCTGTCAAAACTACCGTAAAAGTTCACTGACAGAAAAACTGTATTACTGTAGCGCGGCCCTACTGACGCTAAACTATAAGTTCAAAATGTCAAACCCTGAGCCCAAAATAAAAAGCTTTCCACCCATTACGTCTCATCTACAAAGAACATATCGCATTGCTACACTGAATATGAGATTCTTTTGCCACTGAGACAGATTTATGAGAATTTAAACAACATTAAACTCTCAGCACTGGAAATTAGATGAAAGTTCATTTAAAACCATAATCATAAGCAAAAAAAAAAAAAAA